GACAAAAAGTTACATTTTATAAAGATTTTGGAGAGTCAAAATCCGGCGGACATGTTGACGAAGACAGTCACCAATGAGAAACTAGAGTTATGCGCAACTTCAGTTGGCCTTCACAAGTAGAAGACGAAGGCGGAGCCACACTACGAGGATCGGCGAGATCGTTGGGATATTGTTGATTGAAGAAAGAATTTTCCGCGAGGGAAAGATACATGCGAAGAAGGGGAGAGTCCGGGTGAACTCACTACAGGGACTTTGGTCTCCAAGTCGGAGATTATTAGTCTAAAGTATAGACCCAAAGTTGAGATAAGAGTTGGAATCAAAATAACAAAGAAAACAGGTAGACAGATCCACGGTCGACCGCGAGTCTTCTGCGGTCGACCGCGAACAGGCACAGGGGCTCAAGAGGAGCTGGATTCGAAGGTGGTCGACCGTGGCGGTCGACCGTACAAGTCTCTGTAATTGGTTTTGGTCTTGGGTTTTGGTTCGGTCGACCACCGTGGTCGACCAGGATACCTGAGCGGTCGACTGTCACGGTCGATCGCGACGCAGTCAGCCAGTTTCGTAAACTGTTTTGGATTCTGTTTCTACCAGGACTCTATATATACCTTCAAACGATTTTTAGGGTTTGTAAGAGCACGAAAAAGAGAGTTTTTGAGTACAAAAAGAGAGAGAATCTCAGAGAGATTAAACCCTAGTTTGAGAGCTTGTATTTCTTCTTTAATTAATAAAGAAATTGTGTAGAATCTCAGAGAGATTAAACCCTAGTTTGAGAGCTTGTATTTCTTCTTTAATTAATAAAGAAATTGTGTGGTGTGGCTCCCGAGGTTTCTTCTTTAATTAATAAAGAAATTGTGTGGTGTGGCTCCCGAGGACGTAGGCACGTTGCCGAACCTCATTAAATCTGCGTGTTCATCTCCTTTACTCTTTTACAATGTCAGATCTTTATTTGTGGTGAATTTCCAACTTTCCTAATTTTAACACAAGGTCCGGAAGGGCAAGGATTCGATTAATTGTTTCGAATCCCCAACAAAAGTGCCTTTAGAAATGATTACGGGAGATCCAAATAAGCATGGAAAGGGATAATTTAGTTGCTCATGAAGATGCTTTGGTCATGGAAATAAATTCTCTTTTAGAAAAAGAGAAGATACTATGGAAACAACACTTGTGCGTTGAAGAAATGGCGAGTATAGCAACGAAGACCGTAGGAAAAAAACCAGGAGACATTCTGGCAGTTTCGCGGTCGACCGCGGAAGATGCGGCAGTTAACCGTAAACATGCACACAACTGAGAAAAATCTCTAGATTTTTCACGGTCGACCGTGATGTGTTTTGCAGTCGACCGGCCAAACCCTGTAGGGGTTTTTAGTCTCGGTTGTTAGATCCGGTCAACCGTGCGTGGTTCTGCGGTAGACCACGAGTCCAGTCTGCAGTTGAGTTTGGTTTTCTGACTCGTTTCATTCTGAGTTAATATCTAATCTTAATCCTAATTAATTAGGGTTAAGCAAGGACGTTTTGAATAATTTTTGAGAGGGGATTGCTGCATCCAATTGTGGGAGAGGTGTAAAAGATCTAGAGGCTTTGTTTTAGGCTTTATTTGGTGAGATTTGTAATCCTATTTGTATTCTCTTAATTTTTAATAGTAAGAACTCCCCCTCCTTGCCTCGTGGACGTAGGCAACTTACCGAACCACGTAAAATTTGTTTGTCTTATTATTGTATTAAGTTTGGCTTATTGATTGTGATTTATCTTATTCTTGTTCGTGTGGTTTCGAGCTTCCGACGCACACAACAAGTGGTATAAGAGCTTCAGGTTTGGCTTGAGGCTTGTTCAAAGGATTCGGTAAAGAATTCCTATTTTAAGAGTTAGATCGACAACATGGGAGAAGCAAGCACATTAGATTTGTCTCTTAAGAAGGCGATACAGAGTCTGAACATCAATAACACGAACATTAATATTTCAAAATTTGACGGCAAGATCAATTTTTATTTGTGGAGGTGTCAGGTGATGGACGCGTTGGATGCACAAAATTTAGAGGAGACTCTTGAGTTATAAGAGAAACTCGCTAATATGGAGGATAAGGTTTGGAAGAAGATGAATAGTAGGGCTTGTGAAGTTATTCGGTCATGCTTGATACCAGATCTTATTTATGACATGATGAATGAGATGTTGGCGAAGAGAACGTGGGAAACACTTAATGAGAAATATCTTACGAAGAGCATTGAGAATCGGCTTCACTTGAAGAAGAGGTTTTAACAGTTTAAGATAAAGATGGGAGTTTCCATTAGGGAGTATGTAAATAATTTTACGAAGCTACTTTCAGATATGGCCAATATGGACATCATGGTTGAGGATGAAGACAATGCGATGCTACTTTTGTGTTCGTTGCTCGAGTATAATTATGGAATGTTCGTTCTCACTATAATCAATGGAAGAACTACTGTTAGCTACAAGGAGGTGACCTCAGTGTTGGTGAATTATGAGTTGAGGAAGAGTGATGGCGAACCCTCCGAGAAGGCATCGGAAGATGCATTAGCAGTTCGAGGCCGTAGTGTTGGGCCCTTTTGTTTTAATGATGATTTACAAAATAATTTACATTTAATATTATTTGTCTAGTATTTGTGTTTTGTATCTATTCTAGCAAACAATATGTTAGAGGATGGATGGAATCGAATATTCACGATCATATCCAATGGAGGTTGGCGGAATAGGGGAGTGAAGCCATGCAATTCAAGTTGAAGATCCAAGCTCAAGCTTCATCCGTAAAGTTTACCAAGTTGAGCTACATCGAAGATCAAGATTACTTGGGTAATTTAGTCTTAGGTTTATATTATGTATGTTAGATACTTTAAGCTCATATTATTCACATACACGTATTTGTTGATTTTATCAAAATATAGGTGTTTTTGATAAAATATTATTTTATTAGTTTATAGACTTCAACATCACTTTATACATAGTTTATCAAGTCTATAAAAACATTTCACAAAGTTTTAAAAGTTTGTTAAGTCAAATGTCAAAAACATGTATGTTTAGTTTTCATGTTTTTGAACATATTTGAAAAATAAAGAGTTTTCACATTTGGGAGGTGATTTTTAAAAACCAGTTTTTGTAACATGTGTATTATTATGTCTATAATCATTTTCCAAAGTTTTATATTTTTTAGAATTTGTTTGTTATTTTTAAAATCAGTTTAAAAATTAGATTTCTGCTTTAAACAGGTTATATACTTGTTATCAATCGACTGATGAAAGTGCCTGTAGTTGTCAAAAGTTTTTGTTTTTTTTGGTCGACTGACCAGTCGACTGATGGTCCATTAATCGACTAATAAAGGTCGTCAGTCGACTGATGAGCTGGAAAATGCCTCTAACGGTCAGCTAATCAGTCGACTGATGAAAGCCGTCAGTCGATTAATATTATAACGGCTAATTTTTTTAGCCTTTTCCTGTTTTGGTTTTTTGGTCCTTTTGCTAGGTTTTCTTGATCTTTAGGGTTCCCTATATATACCCCCTCATACCAGCTCTGTTTTTATCTAAGAAAATTGTTTATACAAGTTTAAAAGGGTTTAACAAGAGCAAAGAGGATATTATCCTTTGGTGTTTGAGCATTCACTTTTCTCCCTCTCTCTTGTTATCATTAGAGAAGTTTTCCTAAACTCTATTTCTAGCTATTTATTGTTTTGTTCATAATTTCCATAAGCTAGATTTAAATTGAGTTTAGTTTGATTTTGTTTTATCAAATGTCATTGTTACACACACCCACTTGAGCTTATAGTATTTCATACATAGTGTAATTAGGGTTTTAAGAGATTGTAACTTTGAGTCATGCTAAATTGAGTTCTCACATTGTTTAGAGAACAATCATTTGTTGAGTGTCTAAATTGTGAGGTTCACTTTGAAATACACTAGTACACCAAGAGGAGTGTGTGGTGAGAGACGGTGTCATCCCAAGAGGAGTGAAGTAGGTGGTAATACCTAGAGAGAGGTTATAATTCCTAATACTTGAGGGAGACACGGGCTAGAGACCAATACTTGAGGTGGTAGTTAGTGTAGTTACATTGTGAGTGATTATGAACGTTGATCGGTGAGCGTTGAAAACCGATATTGTATAGTGTAAACGCTATTCAGGTGAGCGTAGAAAACCCGGTTGTGATAGTGGAGGATCTCTTTGAGGTGAGGAGCGGAGACATAGGTCGTAAGAACCGAACTCTATGAACATATCATTTGTTTGTGATTGCATTGGCGCACTTATATTTATGTTCATATCTTGTATTGCCTTTGTATATTGCTTATTGTTTATATTGTCCACTACCTAGTTTAGATTGTTTACCCTTGTGTTACTTGTATATCCTTGCACATATATTGTTCATATCTTATTTGCTACGATATATTTGTTAATAAGTTTAAGTTGGCATAAATTGGATTAGATTAGCATAAACCCTATTCACCCCCCTCTAGGGTTCTTTCCTAGTGGCATTAGGGTGCTTTCACGTAGTCCAAACCACCGCCATGTAAACCGCTCAAAATCAAAGAATAGAGGTGTCTATAAGAGTGTTGTGGTAAAAATCAATGTCGGTATTATAAAGAATAAGGACATTAGAAGATTGATTATCCAAAGTGGAAGGAAAAAGCCGGGAAGAATAAGGGGAAAGCTGTACAAGCTTCAGAAGTGAATGTTGTAAAAGGTGTTGGCGAACATTCAGATTCAGATTCTTTGGGTTATTGTGTCCTGTACTACCGTTGGTTTGCTATGCTGACTCTACGGAGTGGATGTTGAATTCAGGAACCACATATCATATTTGCTCGAGGAGGGAGTGGTTCTCCAGCTTTGAGGAGCTGGAAAGAGGGGATGTCGTGGTTATGGGTAATGACCACGTATGCTCTATTGGTGGTATTGGTTCAGTTCGGATCAGGATGCATGACAGTGTGGTGAGGGAGTTGAAAAAAGTTAGGTTCTTTCCGCAGTTGACGAAAAACATCATTTCTCTTGGTACTTTGGAGGCAGCTGGTTATCGGGTGACCTTAGAGAATACTACCGAGAAGGTCACGAAGGGTTCTATGGTGGTGATGCGAGAAGTCAGGTAAAACTTTCTATACTACTTGAAGGGAAAGACAATTACAGGGGGTCTGACAGCTTCTATCATTACAGAGGAGGACATTACCACTTTATGGTACATGAGATCAGGACACACAAGTGATAAGTCCCTGCAGTCATTGGCAAAACATAGGCTTTTGAAAGGTGCTAAGACCTACAAGATGGAGTTGTGTGAGCATTGTATACTTGGAAAGAAGACTAGAGTGAAGTTCGGCACCGCTATTCACAACACCCAAGATATATTAGATTACGTTCACACAGATGTTTGGGGCCCTTCCAAAAACACATCACTTTGTGGGGCTAACTATTTTGTTACTTTCATTAATGACTATTCTAGAAGAAATTGGGTATACCCTATGAAGCATAAACATGAGATCCTGGATATTTTTGTCGAGTGGAAGAAGAAAGTGGAGCTGCAGACAGGTAGAAAGGTAAAGACTCTACGTTCAGATAATAGTGGAGAGTATAAAAGTGATCCGTTTCTGTAGTTTTGCTGGGATCACGACATTAGGTGACACTTCACAGTTAGAGAGACACTGCAACAGAACGGGGTGGCTAAGAGATTGAACCGTACCTTGCTGGAGAAGGTACGATGTATGATAACATAGAGTGGATTGCCTAGATCATTTTGGGCCGAGGCATTGGTATATGCGAGCCATCTCATTAATAAGTTTCCATGTACTACGATACAGGGAAAGACTCCTTTGGAGCGTTAGTCTGGTTCGATATCTAGTGACTATGATTCATTTCGGATATTTGGTTGTCCTGCTTATTATCATGTTAGTGATAGTAAATTAAATCCGAGGGCGAGGAAGGCAGTCTTTGTGAGATTTAGAGATGGAGTTAAAGGCTTCAAGTTTTGGGATCCACAGGACAAGAAGATAGTTATTAGTAGGGATATCACATTTGATAAGGGGTACATGATAAGGCCTCAAGTTCCTTAGTAGGTGGAGGAAGACCAATTTTGAGAGATATCGCAACAGGTGGAGAATGATGTAACTCCACCTACTCTAGATAGCATTGTATCCATTGAGGCTCCTACAGAGATGACACTGGAAGGAGATGGGATGATAGCCGGGAAGATAGAGGATACAGTGGATTGTGAGACTCAGGAGCAGGGTCATGTTCAGAAGTTTATTGCAGCGAATAGACCTAGAAGGGTGATTCGTCGGCCAGCTAGATATAATGATATCATGATCGCATATGCATTATCAGTAGAGGTCATTGATGATATGGTTCCATCCACATTCAGGGAGCCAGAGTCTAGTCCCGATTCGATAAGGTGGAGGGAAGTTATGGAAGAGGAAATGCGATCTCTTCAGAAGAATGACACTTGGGAACTTGTAAAACTACCTAAGGATAAGAAAGCTATTGAGTACAAGTGGGTATATGCGATGAAGGAGGGATATTCTATTGGGGATATTAGGTACCAAGCCAGATTGGTTGCCAAGCGATATGCACAGCTTGAGGGCATTGATTACAATAAGGTATTTTCACATATTGTGAAGCATTCGTCGATTTGGATTTTATTGGTATTGGTGGCACAAGTAGATTTGGATTTGGTCCAGATGGATGTGAAGATAGCCTTTCTATATGGAGATTTAGATAAGGATATCTACATGACATAACCCTTAGGATTTAAAGCTGCAGGAAAAGAAGATTTGGTGTGCAAGCTATGAAAGTCTCTTTATGGATTTAAGCAATCACCGTGACAGTGGTACAAGAGATTTGAATCCTTTGTGATTGGCCATGGGTACACGAGGAGTCCATATGAGCCATGTGTTTACATGCACAAGCTACATGATGGTGAGCATATATATTTGCTTTTATATGTTGACGATATGCTTATTACTTCCAGGAACTCTTCGGCTATTAGAAAGTTGAAAGAGGAGCTGTCATACAAGTTCGAGATGAAGGATCTTGGAGAAGCAAAGAAGATATTAGGTATGGAGATCAAGAGAGACAAGATGAATGGGAGATTGAAGTTTACAAAGAGGAGTTACTTGCAGAAGATGTTAAAGAAATTCAGCTTTGATGGTAATGCAAAAGCAGTTAGCACTCCATTGGCTCCCTACTTCAAGCTTTTAGCTAATATGTCACCTGTTTCTATTGAGGATAGAGATTACATGTCGAATGTTCCATATGCGAGTGCAGTGGGTAGCTTGATGTATGCGATGGTGTGTACGAGGTCAGATTTATCACAGGCTGTGAGCATGGTATCGAGGTACATGCACGACCCCGGGAAGGATAATTAGGAGGCCGTGAAGGAGATTCTAACGTATGTTAGAGGCAACATGGATGTTGGATTGATTTTCTGAAAGAGTGAGAAGAATGGGCAAGATTGTATTAGTTACATGGATTTAGACTATGCGGGGGATCTTGACAAGCTTCGGTCTACTTCAGGATATGTGTTTACATTGGCAAGAGCACCGGTATATTAGAGATGTACACTTAAGTCTATAGTGGCTCTCTCTACTATAGAGGAAAAGTATATGACGGTGATTGAAGCTGTTAAGGAGGCTTTGTGGTTGCGTGGACTGTTGGAAGACTTGGGGATTGTACAGGAGACCCTTCAGATATATTGTGATAGTATGTCAGCTATCTATTTGGTGAAGAACCAGGTTTATCATGCACACACGAAGCACATTGATGTCAAATTCCATTTTGTTCATGACGTATTGGATGATGGAGATGTCATATTGGAGAAGATCCACACGAAGGACAAACATACGGATATGTTGACCAAAGTTGTTTCAGGTGTGAAATTTGGTCATTTTTTGAAGCTATTGAACATTCTTTAGTTTTAAGGGCCTTTGGAGGTCATTTGGGTGAACTACGTTTGGCTTGATTCCTTAGGTAAGAGGATACGTAGGCAGTCTTGTTTTATACAGCCAGTTGGATTCGTTGATTTCGATGGGGGGAGTGTTTGAGCTCTTATTTAGGTTCTCAACTTGTTGTGGATTGAGTCCGTTGAAGTGGGTTATTTTCACTTCGTCCTAGACACAACAAGTGGGACATTTGGATATTTTTTTGTCGGTTCAGTTTTGGTGGAAACATTCGCCGAGGTGGAGAATTGAAGAAATGGTGGGCACAATGATGAAGACCGCAGGAAAAACAACAGGAGACATTCTAGCAGTTTTGCGGTCGATCGCAGATGACGCGACGGTCGACCGTAAACGTGCATATGACTCATAACAGTCTCTGGAGTTTTCGTAGTCGACCGTGATGAGTTCTGCGGTCGACCGGCCAAACCCTGTAGTGGTTTTTAGTCTCGATCATTGGATCCCATCGACCGCATGTGGTTCTATGGTTGACCACAAGTCGGGTCTGCAGTTGAGTTTGATTTTTTGACCCGTTTCATTCTTAGTTGATATATAATCTTAATCCTAATTAATTAGGGTTAAGTAAGGATGTTTTGATCAGTCTTTGAGAGGGGATTGCTGCATCCAATTGTGGGAGAGTTATAAGAGATCTAGAGGCTTTGTTTTAGGGTTTATTTGGTGAGATTTGTAACCCTATTTGTATTCTCTTGATTTCTAATAGTAAGAACTCTCCCCTCCTTGTCCTGTGGACGTAGAAAACTTGCCGAACCACATAAAATTCATTTGTCTTGCTGTGGTATTGTGTTTGACTTATTGATTGTGATTTATTTCGTTCTTGTTCGTGTGGTTTCGAGCTTCTACCACACACAACATGCGTATCATGGCTCTAGGAGGGTGATCATAATACTCGATTTTTCCATGCAAGAGCTTCTCATAGACGAAGGAAAAATACTCTAAAGTTCTTTAAAGGAGAAGAAAAGAGGATATGATGGGGGGGGGAGGGGATGAATAGGATTGCTACAAAATTTTGACTAAACTTAGATATGTAGCGGAAATAATATGTGAAAAACTAAAAGCAAACCAACAGAGGAACACACAAGATTTTATAGTGGTTCAGATCAAAATCCTACGTCCACACTTCCTTCTCACAAAGGGTCTTTTTCACTATGACTGGAGTTGTCCTAAATCATAACTCGATTCAGTAGGCTTTACAAATAGGATTCTGAAATTTATCTGAAACCAGTCGAGATACCCAACTCCTCACAGTAACCATAAGAAACCTAGCCCTAGTTAGCCACCCTCAATTCACCTGGCTTAAATACACCAACCTTTAATTACTCTGGCTTGAGTACGCCGTCAAACTCACAAGTTTGAAATATAAAACTAACCCAAAATTAATTAAAACACAATTAAAAAGATCTTATAGCTATTGGAATAAATTGCTCGCCAAAACGTTGATGTTAAATATCCATGAAGAAGTGGTATTGCAGTTCAACGCATATGGCACTTCCTCTCGCTGAAACAATTCTCTGATATTGAGAGTGATGAGAAGAAGTTGATCGAGGCTCAAGAGGTTATTCTTGAATAAAAACTCTCACAAAACCCAGAATTGATCTCTCCTTTTTCTTCGTTCTCTTCATTGTTTATATGATCTCTATCTCCTCTTCAATAGACCTTGATAGAACAGGAAAGAGATACCCAAATTAGAGTCCAACTTGGAGATCATACGGATTGATGAATGATTGAGATTAAATCTAAAATTTTGCCAAAACCCATGGCAACTATTGATACTTGATCACGATTATCAATGATGGATGATGATCATCAATGGTTGTGTATAGTCCATTGGTTGTGCAAATTCTGGTTTCTGAATTTTAGCAATTGTTGACTATATAGTCCATTGATGGTCGTTGCAATCATTGATGGTTAACTATAGACCATCGATGGTTCAATTTTTTATTTTTAAAAAATACAAATTATTTCTTATAGTCAATCAATGTCTTGACTCAACCATCGATGGTGCATCATGACCATCGATGGTTAGTGTCTCATGACCATCGATGGTTCAAAGGATGAAATCAACTATCATGCTAATTTTTGCATCATTTTGAATCATAACTTCATGTTGGTTTTTGGTTTGTGTGTAGACCAAAACCTGAGAACAAATCAACATGTAGGAAAATTTCCCGATTAATCAACCAAAGAGAAGCAACTACTCGACCGATTCGACTGTAGGAAACGAACCCAAGAAAAATGCTTTGGTCGGTTGACTGGTTGAAGCCCACCAGTTGACCAATAACATGCACGAAGTAACCCTGTAAAAATATTGTTCTGGTCAGTAGACCGATGCAGGAGCATCAGTGGACCGATAGCGGTATTTTGGGTTTCCTGGTTCGGGTTGGATATTTGTTTGAGTTGGATTATATATGTATGACCTTAAACAATTTTAGGGTTAATTGTACATGAAAAAAGAGTGTTTTGAGAGCACTTTGAGATCAAATATCTTAGAGAGAGAGAGGCCTATTGTGAGCATTGTATCTTCTTCAATAATCAAAGAATTTCTGGTGTGCCTCCTAAGGACATAGATACGTTTGTCGAACCTCGTTAAATCTAGTGTTCTCCTTTTGTTTATTCTTTTCTACAAATTTTGTATTTGCTGTGATTTATTACTTGCTATATTTTTTATCATGTGTTCAACCCCAACAACTGGTATCAGAGTTTCGTTCAGAAGATTTGTGTAAGAGATGGCAAAAGAAAGCAAATCGAAGACTGAGAAATTTTACAAATCAGACTTTGCCTACTGGAAGTCGAAGATGGAGGACTATTTGTACTAAAAGAATCTTTATCGTCCGCTGATGGGTAAAGCCAATGGAATGAAGAAGGAGGAATTAGATGAGGAGTGGGAAATACTGGATCAAAAGGCTTTAGGGCAGATTCGGTTGTTATTCACCAAATCAGTCACCTACAAGATATTGAAGGAGAAGACGACGGTGGGGATTATGGAAGAGCTCGCAAAGATGTATGAGCAACCATCAGCAGCAAACAAGGTGTATCTCATCATCTTCAATCTCAAGATGGTAGAAGGATATTCCTTCACGTTGTATCTCAGTGAGTTAAACACGATTGTTGATCAACTCATCTCAGTCGACATCATGTTTGAGGATGAAGTGCAGGCCTACTGATACTATCTCAGTTGCCGGATAGTTGGGCAGGTTGCGTGACTGTAATCAGCAACTCGGCAAGAAAGGAGAAGTTGAAGCTAAGAGAGGTTGTTAGTATGATTCTATCCGAGGAGGTTAGAAAAAAATCGTCCGATTCAGAAGGTTCAGGTTCAGCCCTAAATCTCTAGCAGAGAGGCCAAAACCATAATAAGGGTAACCAGAATAGGAATCAGTCAAAGTCGAAGAAAAAGAGGTCGAACTCGAAGGTTAGGCCTATCAAAGGGAAGTGTTGGAACTACGGTCAGGAGGGCCATATGTCTTTAATCTATAAAGCGTAAAAGAAGGATACAAATGAGCAGGAGGCTCATATTGTGCAAGATGCCTTAATCTTTACTATAGATTGCGATTCCAATTCATTAGTTATTATTTCGAGAGCCTCATTCTACGCCACTGCTAATAGGAAGCTTCTTCAGAACTATGTAGCAGGGGACTTTGGAAAAGTGTATTTGGGGGACAACGAGCCTTGCAGTATTGTTGGAAGAGGCGATGTGATTCAGATGAAGGGCTCTAAGTAGTATCCGAAGAATGTTAGAGTTGTACCGAAACTGAAGAGAAACCTTATTTCAGTTAGCCATCTTGAAGCAGAAGGCTATGTTTTGATATTTATCAGGGATTCATGGAAGATCTCTAGCGGTACTATGGTGGTTAAATGCGGCAATAAGACAAGAACTCTCTACCTTACTTCACATGCGAGTGGCACTCTCACAATTGCAGCTGGTAAGGAGAGTGCAGATCTGTGGCACAACAGGTTAGACATATGAGCGAGAAGGGTATGAAGATTCTATACTTACAAGGAAAGCTATCCGACATCGATTCAGTTGAACTTGGTGTTTGTGAAGATTGTATCTACGAGAAGCAGAAGAGGATCGGCTTTCAGAAGAGTGGAAGACCACCTAAAGCTCAGAAGTTAGAGCTTGTTTATACAGATGTTTAGGGTCCAGTTAGCGTGTCTTCTCTTGGTGGTTTGGCATACTATGTCACCTTTATCGACGATCACTCAAGGAAGGTGTGGGTATACTTCATGTAGCACAAATCAGAGGTGTTTGGGATCTTCAAGAAGTGAAAAGTCATAGTAGAGAAGAAGACAGATCTGAAGGTAAAGTGCCTGAGATGGAACAATAGTGGAGAATATGAGCTGGAGGAGTTCAAGAAGTTCTGTGGAATGAACGGGATTTGTTTAGAGAGAACCACTCTAAGGATACAGCAACAGAATGGTGTTGCCAAGAGGATGAACAGAACATTGGCAGAGCATGCAAGGAGCATGTGACTATATGTAGGTCTACCTAAGACATTTTGGGCGGACGCGGTGCATACAATGGCTTATTTCATTAATCATGGGCCATCAGTTCCATTGAATTTTAGGATTCTAGAAGAAGTTTAGAGTGGCAAGAAGGTCAATCTCTCTCACTTGAGAGTCTTTGGTTGCGTGGTATATATTCATATCAGTGATCATGTTAGGGACAAGCTAGAAGCTAAGTCACAGAAGTGTACATTTATTGGATACGACATTGATGAGTTTGGATATCGTTTATGGAATGATAAGAACAGGAAGATCATACGGAGAGAGATTTCATATTTTATGAAGAGGTGTTGTACAAGGACATGGATAATGCCAATGATAGCTAAAGCAGTGGGAGCAGCACTAAGGATGCAGGTGAGTCCGAGTATATGGATTTGGAGGAACTTCTAAATGAGAGAGACAATATCAGTTCTGACCAAAGAACAGAGGAGACTCCAGGTGTAAAGACTACTACCCAGGGCGAGGTGCTTAGGAGGTCATCGAGGGTACCCAAACCAAATCCCAAATATCTTTCGCCACTAGATTATTTACTTTTACAGATGGAGGTGAATCGGAGTGCTATGAGGAGGTAATGCAAGTTGGTGAATCTTAGTAGTGGGAGCAAGCGATGCAAGAAGAGATGGATTCTCTCCACTCAAATAAGACATGGGAGTTAACCCAGCTACCTACACAGAAGTAAGCCTTACGTAACAAATGGGTCTACCATGTCAAGCGGGAGAATGATGGAAGCAAGAGTGTAGACTGTCTAAAAATCATAATAGATAGCTAATTTCCATCAAACACCGATAATAGAAGTTACAATTCGACGGCTTCTAGAAGGCTACAATTTGAAGACTTTCACGTAGAATGTTACAATCTGACGACTTTCACAATAACCAATAAAAGCTCTAATTCAATGGCCTTCACAATTAACATCGGGAGTTACAATCTGATGAATCTTATATTTTTAAGGAGCCAAGACGAAGGTTACAAGGTGACGATATTTGCAACGCTGTAGCAAAAGAGACTATAAATTGACGGTCTCTTCATATCAAAATACAGATATCTCTCAAACCGGAAAGAATTTGGTGAAATGGAGGAAGCAAACCGAACCCTAGGAGTTGGGTTTGGTCGGCTTCATCTCGTTGAGATAGCCAATTTTCATATATAATTCGTCCCATTCCTACTTATGGTTTGAAAGTTATGACTTGTTCTTCGCAGCAAGTTATGTTCTAAATTCCGTGTATGAGACTACACTTCGCGTGAACATTGGACTTAGCCTAAAGCTCGCCGAGCCCGCCTAAGGTTCACCTCTGCATCTAAGATTCAAAATATAGAGGTCATGCCTGCATTCTAAACTCAAAACGCAGAGGTCATGCCCGTGTTCTAAACTCAAAACGCAGAGGTCGTGACCGCATTTGAGATTCAAAACACGAAGGTCGTGGATGCGTTCCAAACTTGAAACGTAGAGGTCGTGGCTACAATCCAGAGTCAAAACACGGAGTTCATAGACTCAAAATGTAGAGTTCATACAGAGCCCAACCCTGCGTCCCAGGTCCAAAATGCAGAGTTCATACAAAGCCCAACTCTGCATTTCAAAGTTCACAACGCTGCACGACCTGTGCGTTTTTAGACTTAAATAGGCCCAACTCAGCGTTTGATGTCTAAAACGTAGAGTTCGGGCCCAGAACGCCATTTTCGGTGTTTGACTCGTTCAAACACGAACTGAACAGTTCTAGGAACCGTTTTTTCCCCAAGATTTAAGGGATTTCTGCCCCACTTAGGAGCAGATTA